GAAAAAACAAATATACGCGATTTAAATCCGGAAAAATAGTTTCATTCCTATGTATAACAATCGCGAAAACCTAAGAACTCGATATAATTACGCTGTTTAAAACCGAAAAAATGGTCTCATTTTCAATGCTTTCTCACTCTTAAAAAGTAGTTTGGTTGATTCCGCATAACAGTGAAAGTGTTGAATCAATCATTGAAAAATTTGTGTAGTAAAATTAAGGATATACTCTGATTAGTATACGGTGTCTTAAAAATTTTAACGATAGAAAAAAAAACAAACTTATTTTGAAATTTTACAAGAAAACCGCTGTATTCAATAGCTTCTTTACATACACCAATGAGTTTTTTTCTTATATCAACTGAACTAAATAGAACACGTATAATATACGATATATATTTTTCAATGGCTTTAATTTCGTTTGTAAAAAAGTAATTCTAAAATAAAGCCAGTGTCCGCTCGATTTTGCCGCTTTTGCGCGGGCGCAATAGAACCGACTCAGTACGGGAAAACTTTGAATTAGAACTGACTTAGTTAAGGCGTTGGGCTTTAAATATCAGTTTACGCGAAACATATAAATGTTTCGCGTAAACTGATATTTAAACAGTTACTTTACGATATATAGTTACGATACGAAGACTTATTTTACGATCAAGAGAAGTGTAAAATATATTAATTTGAAGAGGCGTTGGGGACTACCTTATTTTAAATTTATAAATTCATAATGCAAATTGGAATATTTTATTTTATGTGCTTTAATAATGATTCACCATTTTAATATTATTCCCAGGAAAACATCAACTTGGAACCACCTTCTGCTACCAAAATTCACGTGATAGCCGGCGTCTATCTCGCTTGCATGGCAACTGCCTGCGTCTTGGTTGCGGTTGGTGTCGATTCTCTTTCCAGGTTAGTTTGTAATATTACTATCTATGTAAAAATGTCACACGTGGAAAACTCACAGATGGTCCTTCATTAGTTGGGTCGACGACCGGATGAAGATGACATAGTGGTAGACCTTGGTTTTCTATTTACCAGGGAATGTGTTTTAGCTTATGAATTATGGTGATAAAGAAAAACACTGTCCTCAAACTTAAACTCAAATAATCTTCATTTCCTCTTTATAATAGTTTTCCTCTTTTTCTACTGCTAGTAAAGTCAAAGTTAAGTTTTATTTATTTAATCATTTATTAGGAAATGAAACAATTTTTCCGGATTTAAATATTATTTGTTTTTTCAAACAAACCGACGTTTCGGGCCCTTTACAGGTCCCATGGTCACGGTTGACTGAGGTGGTACAGTCTTCAACTAGTTATGTCTAATATTAATGCAAACCACCCTAATTTCTCACTATAGTTACAATAGTTATTAATTAAATACCTTATTTTTAATTTTACAAAGAAAACATTCCAATTTACGCTACATTAAGTTTTACAAATTATTTTATTAAATGAATTTTTATTTGAATTGAATGAATTTTTTTATTGACCCAACGATCTCATTTTCATATGTATCATAAAACTTCATAGAATGTTTAATTATCTCTTTGGATTACTGGAATGTAGCTTGCTGTTTACGTATGGGTTTTCTTATAATAGCTAGTTTATTTTTGTGGTTTTGCTCGACAATCGATTCAAGGAATTCTTTGTATAAGGCTGTCTCCGTTTTATGGTTTCGATGACGTTATTGTTTATGATACTAATCAATGTATTTTTAATGGCACTAGACATCTAAACATTATGCCAAAGTTATAAAACGGATAGAAGAAAAACTTAAAGTAAAGGAAAATTACCAATGGATTGAAGATAGAGTGGATATGTAAGTAAAGTAAACAATAATAATGCCAAGTGTTGCTCTGGTATTCATAGTATTGGAGGTTCCGTTGTTGGAAATCAGGTAATTGGTGTACTTTATATTATTATTAATTAATTAATATGAGGCATTACCCAGAAAACCTATATCAGGACCAATTTCGAAAAATTTACTTCGAACATTGGTCCTACCATACAATATACAAAACACCGTAATTCTATCTATTATGAGCATTGTGTCAGTTTTAGAATCTAAGAACTGCCTCCGTAGCCGAACGGTTACCATGCCGGACTGCAGAGGTCCCGGGTTCGGTTCCCGGGCCGAGAGAAATATTTGTATGGCCTACATTTATTTCCCTCGTGTGTTTGGATGTAATTTGTGGTTGTCTATGTGTGTTTGTGCGTTATTATTATTATTTATAAATATATGTTTTTCATTATAACTTCTTCATTCTCGTTAACTCTGTGTTTTTAGAAGATATTAGGCAATTGTTTATAAATCGCTTTATTCAGTCACTACGATTATTTTACTAAATTTACCTGTTATGCTTTATAAATATGGCTAGTATGTTAAGGAATTTTAAGTAATTTATGTAAATAACAATTCTTAACTTAATAGATCTGCTCGGGCGGGTTTCCTGCATACATGTTTATGCAAATAACTTATTGTATTGTGGGTGAGTACAATAAGAAAAATGTTTTCATTGAAGATTTAGATTATCGACAGACTAACTGTACGGCGATAGAATGGCCTAAACCCTTGCTTGAGAGAAGACCCGTCCCAGCAGTAGGAATTTGAGTTGATGAGCATGGCTATAGAATATGGTGAAGTTACAAGCACATGGGACTTTTCAACTTATGTCTCAAGGTTACGGGCGCAGTAGCACTGCTTCTCAGTATCTTTGCGATTTATAGCTCTGAGTGGCACTGCAATTATTATGGACAGGCGTGTCGCTTACCACCAAGCGCACGACTTGTTCGTCTCGTCACATTGTATCATAAAAAAATCATAGATAAGCAAATTAGATTTGAAATAGACACATTACCTAAACTCTACTATTTATTCGTAAGACCGAATACCATGAAAATATTTTTTTTTGTATGACGCTAAGTGACGGGACGAACAAGTCGTGCACCTCATGGTAAGCTCATGGTAAGCTATACGCCTATCCATAACAGTTGTAATACCTCTCAGAGCTTTAAATCATAAAGATCTGAGGGCCACTGCCACTGCGCCCGACACCCGAAGATATAAGTTGACAAATACCATATGCCTGTAATTTCACCGGCACCCTCCACCCTTGGAACTGGAACGCAGTTATGCTCACACTACTGCTTGGCGGCAGAAATAGGTAAGGCGGCACTACTTCACTGGTCGAACTCTATCACTAGGAGCTCTTCTTCTACACTCAATGTAACGAACATTTCCCGCTTTCGCCGCCGACTTTGTCTACTTCGCTGCACTGACCTACTCTATCCTACCCTCCAAAAGACCATAGCCTACGAAAACGAAGGTATTTCACTACCCACCCTGAGACGTAAGTTGACAAGTCCCATGTGCCTGTAATTTCACCAGCACCCTTACTCTTCCAAACCTGGACGCAGTAATGCTCACATTACTACTTGGCGGCAGAAATAGGTAAGATGGCAGTACCTCACTGGACGAACTCTTTCACAGGGAGCTCTACTGCTATTAAAGGTTTGATCGTCAAATTCCGTGAAATCTCGAATAGCTAAATTAAATTATTATCTTAATGAACCTTGGTGATCGGAACAAGTCTAAAGTTATTTATAAAAAAAATAAGAACTGACTGCATAAATAAAGCTGCTGGAAAGATAAAAAATATTCCCCCCTCACTATTTTGATTTTTTTTTATAGCCTATGACACTCCCCTAATCAAGACGAATTTAACGACACCTCATATGTCAAAATCCATCAAGCTGTAGGTACAGCGTGAAAAAGAAATGGATATACATACATACACTTGAAAAACATATTCTTCCCGCAGTCGGACAAAAAGAATTGTAGTTTAATAAAAATGTTTTGTCATATCGCTTATATAATGGTCGGTATTTTTCGCAAATGAACCAGGTAGTAAAAAATCTGCATAAATAATTAATTCAGGTGCTTTTTATGTTTAAAACTGGTTAGGCTTCTAGAATTGCGACACTTTTATTGTTATACTTTAGTGATTTGTATAAAACTGACAGCTACGTGTTATACTAATTTGTTTTTTTATTTAGTTTCAGGAATTTAATACGTATTTTAATAAGTTATGAATAAGGCGGTAATGTAAAAACCTGGACCAATAAGATTTCTAGAAGGAATTATAAACAGAGCTTCTATTTTTTCAAATGAGTATATAATGAATGGAATATATATTTATACAACAGTAGGTGTCGGTAATCAGTATAGAGATTGAAATAAGCAGAGTAAATAACGGGCACTTGGGAATTGTCAACTTATGTCTCTGAGTGGCGGACGCAGTGGCAATGCCCCTCAGATCTTTGCGAAAACTCTGAGTTAAAACTCTGCAACTGTTATGGACAGGCGTGTCGCTTATTATCAGGCGACGAATGTTCCTCCCGTCAATTGTATTCATAAAAAAATCTTCAAAAAATGCACATAGACTGTATAACTCCTCTCAAACTCCGGAGTGATTAAATACAAAGAGTAAAATTCAAACCAAAATAAACTCTTGGGCACGTAATTCGTGCCACCATTCTCAGTATTAAATGACGTAAGCTTAAAATAGTTTTGATTGTCAAAAACTATTATGCAAATATGGAACCAGTATACTAAACGTCATTTCCATAAATTCGTCCTTGTTGAAAAAATTTGAAATTGTAAAACGGGATAAAATTTTCTTCTAAAAAACACTACAATAGTAAAGTAATTGCTAGTTACAAATCTAAAATGTAGAACAAAATTCAATACAATGTCCTACCTGACACTATTCAGATATGTATTTGGTAGTAAGTTTAAGCGTGCAAGCCTCCTCCCCGAAAACCCCCACCTCCGCTTCTGCTTTTTTCGTCGAACTGGTATTTACGCCAGCGCTTTCTTTTGTTACCGCACAGAATTATCACCATTTAGAGCGATATATTTAATAGTTTTTTTTTTTCGAGAGACTAAAATAATACAATATAATACCCGAGGTCATTGACCTAAGTAGCCAATTAAGTACGAAAAATGATCTATGTGCTACGTCGCGTCACTTACATGGTCCATGCACAGACCTACCTACCTAATACCAAGTTTTTAATTTACTTCGAGTGACATAAACAAACTCAATCAGCCAGTACTTGCTCTAGTCGTGCCAAAAAGACTAGGCAGAGACGGTGGCGCCATCGCCATATTATTTTCCCGCGTTAGTGCGTTTGTGTATTTTACCATTTTAGTCGCGCGATGTAGCATTTAAATCGGTTTTCGTACTTAATTGACTATTTGTTTCTCGCAATCGAAGTGAAAAGTAAATTTGTCACCTCAAGACTAAAAACCAATATAAGCCCTCGGAGTATTAGACATCTTCGCTAAAGCTCAGGTGTCTGACCCCCTAGGGTGTACATTGGTTAGTTTTAGTCCCTCGATAAAAAATATACTATTGCATATTCCGATCCTCGATAATCAGTATTACATTCCATCAGATAAACTGTCTGACTGTGCCGTGTACGTAATAAGTAATGACTTTATCGTTACAAAGTTTATGTTTATTAAAATGCAGTAAATTGGTGGTAAGTAAATGTAGTAGTATTAGCGAGAGCACAGAATTGCGTATGTAGTGGTGTGCCGTTCGCATGAAAACCATAACTACAAAATCATAAATATAATCACAAATGCTTCTGTGAATACATAAGTACCAATGACATATTATGCAAATCCGAGTTGGCACTAAGATTATTAAAGTCCTCTAGATTTCCAATGATTAAGTTGACGGAACCACTTACCTACTTGTGGTTGCTAGCTCAATAGGTAGGTGCACGATCATGTCACAGATCGTGAGTCATATTTATGTCAACTGTAACAGGATCTAGATACATTGTGTATAGTATGCTATAACCACAAAGTTTTATAACAATGTTTGTGAAGTATAAACGATATAGATCCATAAGAATAGGTGAATTAGGTTGTGACGGTCATCAAAGCGAACAATGCGATGATAACTTACGTGTCATAACATCATTAGACACATTGAGTTCTTAGGTTTCTGCGATTGTTACACCTAAAAATATCATTTTCCCGTGTTACGTTTTGGTTCGTGATTTTGTTGTACAGCGTAAACGATTGAAATATATAGAGGCTTGCCAAGAGGCTTATACGTGACCCGGAATTAGTAGAGGCGAAGCTGCAGAGCCTTGAAAACCGCCGTAAACTTGCCTGCTTATCGATATTATCATGGATATGTCACGGAGAGTGTGCGAGGGAATTACACGAATTAATTCCGCCTTCCCCTTTCCATCATCGGGGGACCAGACGTAAGCTGGGGTTCCACCCCTATGTTGTGGATATTACAAAGATTCTCACGAAGCGTCTCGCTTCCACATTTACATAGCGAACGGCTATGGAGTGGAATTCCCAGCCAGCAGTCTTGTTCTTCGATTGCGAGGGAAAAATATTTATTCTCTCGCAATCGAAGTGAAAAGTAAAGTTTTGACCTCAAGACTAAAACTTAAATTAAAACCTCGGAGTAATAGACAACCTCGCTAAAGCCCGGGTGGCTAACCACCTCGGGGTATAATATATATGCTCGTTTTAAGCGTGAAATACACTGAGAGCGGGTGCGGCTCGGGCGCGTTCGGGAGCACGGCGGGTTTAATTTCGTGTATTTATATGGACGACAACACAAAACATGCTCCCGCGCGTGGTTTGTTAAAAGATCCTCGGTAAAACATACTAGGTTAACTGTATAACGTACAAATGAGATACGAGAAAAAACGGGTCGCGAGTCGTCCGGAAAATTTTTACGCAATTTCGAGAATTACCGCAGTTACGTAGTCGTATTTAGTTTATACGTTACATAATTGACATAAAGTTAATTATGCTTCATACAATATCGTTAAAAAAATTGACCGTTATTCTGTTATTATCAATTAAATTGAGTCTTTAGTCACAGGGCGAGGCAGTGAGGGTGCGGCAGGCGCTTTGCACTCTTGTTGCCGGCTGTGTGTCGCCTTAAGTTATCATCCAGAAATGAAATTACCTGGCACCATATTTTCTGTACTGATAACCGCGACACAGACCTAGCTTAGTGTGGTTATTTATGTATCACAATGTCTTGTCTTGTTTTGGGCAGTTAAATATTTTTTTTTTGTATCTTTTCCCGCTTTTTCTTGCTACTGCAAGAGGAACTTATATACATACGTCGTGGATAATGCCGTGGGGTTCTCAAAAAATTTGATTGGTTGTGAAAACGAACAAAAACAGCTAATACGTATACCTAAAGGCGACCACAACTTAAAACGAGACCCGATAGGTGTGAATTTGACAGACTCATTTATTTGTAAGTCAATGGACTCATTGGTACTATTTATAATGGATTACGGCGATATTATGTAACGGGTCCTGTTATAAAAATTGTAAATCCTGTTGCGAACATTCAGTCTATGAATTTTGTCGTGTGTGCCGTCACGTTCTCATTCATATAACTGCAGCGGTAGAGCTCCTTGTGAAAGAGTTCGTCCAGGGAAGTACTGCCACCTTACTTATTTCTGCCGCCAAGCGTTACAGCGTTCCGGTTTACAAGGATAACGGTGCTTGTGAAATTACAGGCACATGCGACTTGTCAACTTGTGTCTCAGGGTGATGGGCTCAGTGGCAGCCCGTTTAGATCTTTGCGATTTAAAGATCTGAGCCACTGCAACTGTTATGGACAGGCGTGTAGCTTACCATCAGGTGCAAGATTTGTTCGTCCCGTCACTTGATTTTATAAAAAAAATTCAATTTCCAAATACTTTTAATATTTTCAACACTATTAATGGGCGTATATTGAAATTGAATGAGCTCACATTCAACTTACGATCAAGTAGTACGACTCAAAATTTGACTGAAAATCTGAACTGGATTCATAGAGGGAAAAGACGGAGATTGAAAAACAGCGCTATGTTGAGGCTCCGTCGTTTTCATCAACATATTAGGAACAGAATTTATAGTAGCTCTAAATTTATAAGTATACCATGCATTGTGTGTTTGCTGAATAAAGTCCTATTTATGTATTTATTTAATTTGAACTGTTTATTGACTTGATTCGTGAAAGCAACCAGTCCATCGTGAGATAATTCGTCCCAATTGTCGTTTCACGCCTCTTTACCACAGAACCAAGTATCTATTATGGTAATGTAACAAATACACAGTCGCATAGTGTTAAGATATCATGTTTTTTCCAGATACGCATCAGCTCGCAAGGCAGCTCACCAAGGCAAGTCAGGCTTCGGTCTCCTGGCAGTGACCCTGCGACAGCTGAGGCAAAAGTACCAGCTCCTCCTGCTGCCAGTCATCGGGTATATTGGCGCAGAGCAGGCGTTCATGGCAGCTGATTTTACTCAAGTAGGTAACTGTAGGTAACTATATGATGAAATCATATATTATGTTTCAAATATATGTAAATATTCATATATATATATATATATATATATATATATATATATATATATATATATATATTGTGTTTTCTACGTATAATTAATTATTTCTGTCAAAGAGGAATGTTAACTGCTACTAATAATATGTCTAACACTTCGTTTATTTCAATTAAACAAAAATGTATAATTACTATTATGTTTCCATCAGGCGTTTGTAGGTTGCGCATACGGCATCAGCAACATCGGTTTCGTGATGATCTGTTTTGGAGTGTTCAATGCTCTAGCAGCTCCTATTGCTGGGGCTGTGGTTAAACTAACTGGGAGGTACCCGGTCATGATCACTGCTTTGGTAAGGAAATCTTTGACATACATATATTGACGTTTCTAGTGGCATTTGGTCGATTAATGACGTCGAGAAAAACCAAATTTGGACCCAAATTACTATCTTATTTCCAGGTGCATAAAACTGTGTTCGTGTGTGACGGGGAAAGACTAAATTGAGCTCCAGTTTGCTTTATTATTTCTAGTTGCAAAGCTAATTGACCTGTAGGGCTAGCACGAGTTGTATATGCGAGAACAGCAGTAGATATCCCGCGCTTTATGTCGCACTTGTGCAAGTCGCGCCCTGTCGTGCTAGGCCTACTGGGCGATGGGAACTTCAACTCCAGTTGCTGTCTTTTGCATAGGGGTACCTAGCGGTAGCTGCGCCATTAACTGCTTTGCCAATTTATAACAGCTTCGTCATTATTTCGTCTTTCTTGTGGATATTTATTTTATATACTCTCATTTTGTTTGGAAATGTTTTCAGATTCTGAACCTGTGTTTATTAACGTGTCTACTGCTGTGGCGACCAAGTCCTGATCAGTGGTTGGTGTATTACTCACTGGCAGCAGTTTGGGGCACAGCTGATGCCGTTTGGCTTGTTCAAGTTAACGGTAATTAACAATGTTGTATTATATTTTTCGTCACACTTGCACGTAAATAGTATGATGGCATGCAGGCTAACTTGACTATAATGCCCCAAAACCCTCGGGCCTATTTTCTTCTCATTACCGACTATGGCTGTAATGAGAAGAAACAAGTGCTTTAGATTTAATTTTACTTATTTTGGGATCAGAGCAATGTATGTATTGTATGTATGTGATTTTGTTAAATGTTTATATTTACTTATTTATTCTCTTTTTATGCGTATTACAGCCCTGTCAGGTATCCTGTTTCCCGGTAATGAAGAAGCAGCGTATTCCAACTTCAGGCTATGGGAAGCAACTGGTAGCGTCTTCGCATACGCAACTGCCCCCTACCTTTGTGTTAGAACGAGGTACGCAATGACTGACTAATATATATTCGAAAATATTTAATAAGTAAATAAAATCGCTTAATGATGAATTATAAAATAAATAGTATAATAATAATAATTAGCCTTTATAATAGTCCCACCGGTTCGTGTCGGTTTTTCCTAGGGTTGGGCGCAGCTCGATAAGTTTGATTATCGGTGCGCGGATTATAACGCTGTATTATTTAATGTAATAGATGTGTTAATTACATTTTTATTGAATTGATATTCAATTATTTTTTGTGAAATTACACCACTAGTTTGTTGTAATTATTAATACAAAGATCGAACACTTAGAAAGAACACTCAAAAAAAATTCCTTCGATCCGGTCGGATTCGAACCGACGTATTCTTGCATAGGTACCGTGCCAGATCTGGCACGGTATGCAAGTCTAGCGACATCTCTCGCCAGGACTGGTAGCTGTAAAGGTACTAACTGGGTGATAAATCTGCAATAGATTTCTCATAGATGGCGCTACGACTAAAAAGTCGTTGAAAGACCAAGTGCAAAGACACGACGCAAGCACATAGAAAAATTCGTGAGGTCCGTTGGTTCGTTCCGTGGCTTAGTTGGTATAGCTTCTGCCACGGTATGCAAGAAGACGTCGGTTCGAATCCGACCGGATCGAAGGAATATTTTCTGAGTGTTTTTTCTAAGTGTTCGATCTTTGTATTAATAATTGTAATAGATGTGTTTAAGTACACTATATTATTTTTCACTTCACTAGCTTGGAAAAGCTTTTCTTTCTCTTTAGAAATTTACGTGTAAAGGCGTTTTTTCTACGCTAGCGTGGAAAACGTTTTTGAAATTCGAACTTGACGATGAATTGTGGTGCACCTAACTTTTGCTTTCCATGAATAAAACATAATGACACGTTCAACTACGCGATTTGTCGTACATTATTTATGTAATATAAATCCGTTGGTATATTTTATTCTTATTATTGTTGACATTATATTAGCGACGATAACTAATTTTGTTAATTAATCGTTAAGTGTTACCTAAAGTAAGCTTATTATAACATTACTCACATACCTAGAGTAACGTTATAATAAGCTGTCAGATTTATTCATCTGACTAGCCTCTTCAGATGGTCACTTGTTCTGGTTTTTACAAAATTATCTGAATGGTCAAAAAGTGACCACCAACAAGCACAGAGCTGTATTTTATAGGCTAATTAATCATCAATATTTTATTAAATGTTCTTCATTTATAATTTGAGACAGTAAGGACTTTTTGGCCAACCCGATAACTACAGTTACGTGCAGCCGATTTTATTGGGTGTATATTTGTTTTTGTATGCAACTTGAAAATGTACTTATAGGTAACGAGAACAAAGAAATTTATTATATTATATAGTATATTGTAAGGTTAAGGTTAGGTAAGGACGTACATGAGAAATTACTAACGATTAGAAACTCTAAGCCGAAGGCTGAGGGCTTTAATGGCTCGAGTTTTGTATTTTTTTACAATCTGTAATACGTACAATGTTTTTCATCATATTTACGAGGAAAAAAATACAATGTTTATTTTTTGTATGAATAAATATGGTTCGTAAAACAACAATTACGGGTTTTGAAAATAATGGGTTTTATTATCAACGGATGGCCAGCTAGCTATTCCTCCATACATCTCGAAGTAAAATGTTGTAAAAAATTTGCAAAATTTTTATACAAAAAATAATTAAATTCAATTATAAGAAATTCTTAATAATAAGTATTTGAGTAGTATGTGGCTGAATTGCAATTACATTTCTGTTTAGATAATATTTTAAGCGAATGTTTTCATTTTGAACTTAAGTAACCTTGCTTGAACTTGAACCTGACCTATATAAGGAAGCTTAGTAAGGGTTTTTTTTTAATTTGTAGCACGATTGCTACAAATTTTAAAAAAACCCTTACCGACCACGGCTGTAATGGGAAGAAAAAAGACCCGGGGATTTTATTTGGGGCATTATAGTCAAGTTAGGCACCTTGCAATCATACTATTTACGAGCAAAAGTGATGAAAAATACTTTATACGGCTTTTAGCAACTTCTACATTAAAGTCATGATACAAATAAGTATAACTATGATATGACGCTTGCATCACTACCGAGTGTATTTACTCGTGCTTAAATTCAGGCAATTTTAAGTTAGTGTGTATTTCAAAGTTATTCATTCGTGTAAATAAATTGTACTTTAAAATGTATCTACATAACAATTTTCTTTTCAGGATCTACATTCTTCTGGGCCTTCTCTTAGTGGGTTTCACTGGTTACACCACTATAGAGCTGATGGAATACAAAGTGAAGAGATGTCATTTTCGAGAGAGGACGTTCGAGCTTGTTAAGGAAAAGGAAAACGATTAACTATGAACCTATGGTTATTTAAAAGGCGAAATTACTGCCCAAAACACTTTAAATTTGCATTTGAACTTTTAAATGTTTAAATTAATAGGAAATACTCAACGCTGAAATAAGTCATCTGAAAAAAATAGGATAAAAAAACGAAAAATAATATAAATTTATTCTTTTCATACATATACAAAAACAGTTTACGAAAATAACGGAAAGAATATTATGTTATGTGGTACAAAGTACAATTATTTTTCAATTAATCATATATTTAGTACTAAGTAATATACGTAGAGCCTTTGCGCTTTTCCCGTTGCAGATTGTTGGGACTTAAGAGATTAAGAATAAAAATGCAAGGTGGCTCTAATTTTAAGTACGGGAGTGTAGTTCGAATAGTTTTATGTTGTGTTCAATATTGTCCCCTGTATATTTTATAATAATTCTGTAAATATATAATAATCATTAATGCATTAAGTTTACAGAACACTATAAATTGTAAATAAGTCGTTTAAGGATAGATTACGTACTTAATTGTAAATAACCTACGTAAACAGTTAAAAAAAACTAAAGATAGAGGACTTATGTGTACATTGTTTAGTACATTAAGAATGTGGAATTAATTTGTAAACTTTGAAATAAGTTGAATTAATAGGTTATGTTTAAGTTAAAAATAAAACATAGCTTTTTTTTATTTTTTTTCCAGACGATTCACTTGAAACACTGTTCCAATATAAACGAAATAAATTTTGTTATTGTAAGAACATTTTGATGGCCGATTCCCGCGTTCAATCGAGCCTATTTGTAATAACTGAGTAGGTAGAGTTAACGTATACAAATTTCATATACTATATTTTCTGCAACCAAGCCATTAAAAAATAAATGCTATGGTCATTGACTTACAAATAAATGGACGACGGGTCTAATACAAAAACCACGAAAAAAATGTCCCAAGTCAACCTATTTAAACGTAGTAAATGAATATGAAAAAGCTAAAACGTTGAATTTAAATTGTAATGTCATCGCAGTACTGTCTAATTTTGCTTGCTTCGCTGTCAGTCGAACAAACGAAGACTAAAGCGTGAATTACGCTCTGTATACGATTTTAACGCCCTATAAGTTCGGACACTTTTTAGCGCGGACCCGACGTCCATATAATTGTAAGTCAATGGCTATGGTAGATAAATTTAGCTCTACATTTAGTTGAGCTCCTTGTGAAAGCGTTTGTCTAAGGAAGTACTGCCACCTTACCAATTTCTGCCGCCAAGCGGTAATGTGATTATTACTGAGTTCCGCTTTTGAGGGGTAAGGGTGCTGGTGAAATTACAGGCACATGGAACTTGGCAACTTATGTCTCAGGGTGAAGGGAAGAATTTTCAGATCTTTGCGGCTTAAAGCTCTGACTGGTACTGCAACGCAAAATTGTGTCGCCTACCACCAGGTGCACGACTTGTTGGTCCCGTCATTTGTTATCATAAAAAATAAACTCATTAGAGCAACCTTCGGCTGAGAACTTTTATCCGTCCTTACAGAGTCTTTTTGACTTAAATTCCGCGAAGTATTTTTTGTTTCCTCATACCACATTAAGACATGCAAAGTCGAATAATTCTTTGCTTTTGAAACAGTCCGTAAATTCAAGAAAGTGTATCTTCTTAACGCAAATACGTATTTATTAGCGTCGTGTCAGTGATGATCTGCTCCGAACAAACAAACAAACTATTCAAGAGTTCAAGAGTACAAAATAATAACACATTGTTGGGTACTGAAATACCTTCGTTTTCGTAGGCTATGGAGTTTTGGAGGGTAGGATAGAGTAGGTCAGTGCAGCGAAGTAGACAAAGTCGCGGCGAAAGCGGGAAATGTTCGTTACATTGAGTGTAGAAGAAGAGCTCCTTGTGATAGAGTTCGACCAGGGAAGTAGTGCCGCCTTACCTATTTCTGCCGCCAAGCAGTAGTGTGAGCATAACTGCGTTCCAGTTCCAAGGGTGGAGGGTGCCGGTGAAATTACAGGCATACGGGATTTGTCAACTTATATCTTCGGGTGTCGGGCGCAGTGTCAGTGCCCCTCAGATCTTTGTGATTTAAAGCTCTGAGTGATACTGCAACTATTATGGACAGGCGTGTAGTTTACGATCAAGAGCACGACTTGTACGTCCCGTCACTTAGTTATTATAAAAAAAGGGCAGTGCCTTAGCATTTTTATAAAGCGTGTTTGAACATTACTTTGTTATCTTTTGGAACATCTTGTCTTCTTTTTTTTCGTTGCACTCTTGACAGAGCGATTTTGGTCATCACGGAGTATATGTGTTAGGGGTTAATATGACTCTCCTCGGGATATCTCGCCATCTCCTTCTATTAGTGGACTCCCTCATGCACTCATTCAAAGGACTACCCACAGCAGGCTTTATTTGGTCGGTCCATCGCTTTGTTGACCGTCCGCGTACCGACGCACACAAGACGTTCTATGGAGCCAAACCAAAAGTCAGAAGTCAAAAGTCTTGTCTTATGTCTACATAAAAATAAAACAAACTATCTCAATAAAATCGCTTTTATTCTCTCCACATAAATACTTAAACTGGATCGAAAACAGATTAACGTGAGCTAATCGCTATCTAAGTACGTGCGCGGGAGTGGACATTGACTATACCTCGTTATACACAATGATACACTACACAATACATAACTATGTCTCGTTTGGATAAGGGAATTCATTCCTTATAGTATTGAATACTAAGTTTATTCTACTACATGTTATTTTAAACCAAATTATTTTATACTGACATTTCTTTTTAATGAAAACTAAAATTTCAGAATTTAGTACCTTAGTTTAAATTAACATGTAACAGAAATAATCAGAATCGCCTCGTATCGAGTCGAAACATGTTTGTTGAAATATTCATTATCGAATGGCCGTTGGTCTAATAGTAGAATGAATATAAAGTACAGACTTGTGATTTAAAAGTTGAATACAAAGTTGTTTATAATCTGTGTAAATTACTTATTAGCAAATTTTCCAATTCAGTACTATTTATTTATGCTACTATGTAAAAATCATTAAGTTCCAGATACATAAAAACATTATGGAATGACTGATATGTCCCAACTCAATTTAGTCATCTTTAGTGTCTTTAAACATTGGTACTTGTAGTTATTACTTCTCTAGTCTCTGTCGTGTTAAAATCGCCAAAGTATTACAGAACTAACGTGAAAATATTCACAGTTTATTGTACCTAGTACGATATAAAACACTATTTCAAATGCCATGATTACGGAAATCCTTTTTAGTCTCCTGGTACTTGTATTTAATCACCGTTACGCAGGAACTGGGTAATTCTTGGGATATATACCCTTTTCCAACATAAGTAGACATTCCCTGCAGGATGAGTATTTATAACAACGTGGTGTACCATTTCCTTTGCCTATGGTGTTATTAAAAGTTATTAAGATAATGCGCTACAAACTCTATTACTTTTCAATTATATGAAAGTTAAATATGACATTACAAATAACTTATTTTGCGTAAAAAAGGAGGAGGTTCTCAGTTGGACTAAAAAAAAAATTTTTTTTGTGTAAATATGCTGGTAGTTTACTCGGATATTTGTGAAGCGATTTCGATGATTTTTTCTTGTTGGACCTTTCCAAGTACCTCTCTTCTCTCACTTTCCTCTAACCGATTTCAATAAAACATGGCAAATAGATGTCATTGCACAAACTTTTGAGTCAAAAAGTTATAATTATTAGATCATTCCATTCTTATAACTATTATTCAATTCTAAATAAAGATAACATCTTATAACCCTTAATAGATGTTACAAAAATACCATTGATTTCACAATAATGAATATTATTCAAAAAACAATTATCTGAATCCCTATAGCATTTTCAACCAAAAAGACGTACTCGTATAGACAAACAAATTATTTATAGTTACATAATACACGTTCATAAGTCACTTAGTCCTTCTTATAATATACATACGTACTCAAATGTTAGTTACAATATAAGCAGCAAATTCGAATTGGTTGATAAATTGATTTCAAAGGGAAAGATCTTCAAGTTTTATCCTCATATATTCTAATCAGACCCGAACTTACTAGCTTTTACGGATTGGAAATGAAACTAATTCTCCGGATTTAAAACGCGTATATTTGTATTTTCAAAAAAAAAAACGAAGTTTCGGGCCCTTTACAGGTCCCATGGCCACGGTTGATTGAGGTGGTAAAGTCATCAACCAGTTATGGCCAATATTAAGGCAAACCACCCTATTGTTTCACTATAGTTACAAAAGTTATTAATGAAATACAATATTTTGAATTTTACAAAGAACATTCTAATTCATGCTACATTATGTTTTACAAAAAGATTTTTTTATCAATATTAATTTAAATTTATTATCAATTAATAATGGCGATTTAAACCCGGAAAAATAGTTTCATCTCCTATGTGTAACAATCGCGAAAACCTAAGAATTCGATATTTTACAGATTGTTTATTATTTCGCCCTCCTTGTCATAACGAACGCGTTTGCGTCTAGGTAACTTTCGAAATATTGGTACCTAAAGTTTTTTGTTTCTACTAAAAAGAAATCAATTACTTGATTAATTAATAAAATTTAAACTAAATTAAATATTAAAATGCCGAATATATGACGTTGTAGATCATGTTTCGCTGATTCCAAATTTGTTAATAACTAAATTTCGTTAAAAATTTTGATTACGTTAGTTATGATAAGGAAGACAGTATTATTTTATATCAATAATGATATAAAATATTTTTTTGTAGAAGATTCGTTAATGCCTTTTTTAATTTATATCACATACGGGACGCCTGTCTATAACAGTTGCAGTGACACTCAGAGTTTTTTAAATCGCAAAGACCTAAGAGGCACTACCACCGCGCTCGTCATCCAGAGACACGTTGACAAGTCCCATGTGCCTGTAATTTCACCAAGATATTATTCTTAGAAGATTATTTTCCAAGATAATTTTATAAATTGCAAGACTGTTCTTTTTTTTTCAATTCACTCAGGTTAAGATTGATTATATATATAATTTTCATTCGCTTTAATTAATGGTAATATATGAGAAATATAGAATCTTTCCCTTTAAAAACCAATTTTCTCCGAAATAATTCTCACACTATTATTCTATTTTATTAAGTATTATTATTTATGTATCATTATCATTTCATTTAAAGCGTAGAACCGTAATACTTCGAAGAAGG